TGAATGAATGGATGATATGAATGCGTGTGGAAATTAGTACATTATCTACCGGTGCTTCATAAGCCTGAGCCCATATTGTGCACATCCCTTACATTACTATACTGTATAATAAACCTCATGATTATTATACAACAAAAAAGCATTTTATAAATACTGTATTTTAGCAAATGTTACTCAAAATAAGCCTCATTTTAAATACAAAGCAAAATATTTTTTCATTATTTAATACGAATGCATGAAATAGTATATGAAATCTTAGCATAAAAACTGCAATCAATTTATCAATAAATAAAATAAATGAATAAAAACTAGACGCTAATGATTATGTGAATAAATATTTGAATTAATGCTTTTAAAAATCAATATAAATAAATGAATGCTAAGGTGTGGGTTAGGGGGTGTGGAAGGGGTCGCCAATAAGCCTTAAAAAAAGACACTAAAACAGAGGATTTGGACCTAAAACTCAGTGCTCGTAACAATCCTATACTTCTTAAGCAATCAAATGAGTATAAAATACCCCAAAAAGCATAGCAAATAGACAGCTCCCCCCTTATGGACAGGGGGGTGACTGTAGCGGTGGGAATGGCTAATGATGTGTGGATTATGAGGCGATTTATGGCCAATAATTAACTTTTTGCACTTACTTTTCATGCTTTTCACCCGAAACTGTGCGCTTTGAGATAATTTGTCGCTTTTTAGGCATTGTTTTTGTATATCAATTAAATGAACACTTTTACGAATTGTGTGTTTATGTATTAATCGGGCGATTATTTATCATGCAAATCAATATCATTAGCTGTCGTTATAAGTGACCCGAACAAAAACACACGCGAAATAGTTTATGAAATAATTTATAATACAAAAAGTTTATGATTTATAAAAAAGATTTTTGCGTTTAAAATGTATTTTCCATTGCATTCACAGTAAGAGAGTATTCATGTGTTTTCGGTCTCTAAGTGTTTAAACAAATAAATCAAATAAAATGTTAAATTAAAAAAATACAATTTAAACAAAACACAAACAATTAACACACAATACAGGGGGGGTTCCACGACATACAAACCCCATACACAGACACACCGAGGGGGGTATAAACCATAGAAACACAGCATATCAATGGGCGTGTGCTCTTAAACCCTATGCTAATCCAGTGATTAACAATAACCAGGGTATACACGACATACCTGGTCATTAACCACACAAACACCGTGTGTTGACCCCCCTAAACACCCGGGTAAACCCCTGACAACACCCCCGCCCTACCCATACAATAGCCATATATCGCACACAACACATGCCGGGCACCGGTATGACGGACCAATCACACGCACACACATTCCATACAAATTACCCCCGATTACCAAACCAGTGACACCGCCCTGTCCACCCCTCCCCCCATACACGCCCACCAAACACACACACAGACACTCGGTGTACGAAAACCCCCACAAATTGTAGGCAAACACCAAATAATGTCAACAAAACATACCTTCAGATTGAGTGCCGGATTCAGTGGTTCATCAATGAATGCCAATGGGAGTGGTGGCCGCCACGCGATAAATACCTGGATCACTGTGCGAGTGTGTGTGTGAGCCGGGTGACCAGTGAGACAGTGAGACAGGTCAATTGATAATTGAGTGGTGATGTCGATGCGATAGCCGTGTATATGCCATACACACAGTGCGTTAGCCAATGGCAGCCATTTTGAACGCTTCGACTGCGTTTGCGGTGTGTTTGTGGCGCCCACTGGTGGCCCACATAGCGTACAGCGGTGTGTGGCGCGCATTACAGCGCGCGCTGTACCGATGAGACGCTAATCGCTGCGATACTTCGGTACAGCGGGCCGCACAAATAGGGGCGCTATATTTACTACCAATAAGATAATACAGTATATATAGAGTATTAGAAAAAAACTTTTTTAATGTTAAAAAAAACTATAAAAACTCGTATGAAAAGCATTTCAGAGACACATTTTAAGCGAGATATCAATGGACTTATTATGTTTGGACACCGGTTTGGGCGTTCAGTCGGCCACTCCTTCTCATCCGCGACCTCGGCGTTGGACAGGGCGTGGAGTTGGCCGAGAGGTGTCTGCAAACGCACGTGTCGTACAAAATCATAAAAAAAATTATAATATATATAATGATAATCATGAAGTTTATTATACAGTATAGTAATGTAAGGTTTTGGGTAAGGGATGTGCACTTTGGGCTCAGGCTTATGAAGCACCGGTAGATAATGTACTGATTTCCGCACGCATTCATGTCATCGATTCATTCG